GATATTGTAAGATAAGATAAACATCAGTTTTATTCATACCAAAATTATGTGAATAAATTGATCTTTAAAAAATCTTAAATTAACCTGCACAAATCAACCTGATCAATTAGTAATTTTAAGTTTAATTAACAAATTTATTTGATATTCAAGAGATTGCAGAGAAGACATGATAGAAATAGATGCAATACTAAATTTTAATTAATAAATAATATTGATGTGCTAGAGAAAAACCAATAAAAGCAATGAAGGAAAAAGGAAGTACCCAAGGGGATTTTTCCAAAACGAAATAATAGACATAATCCAGATAATGGGTAAATTAAATGTCAAAGATCGCTGCCATGACCTTCTCCCCATTCTGCATATTTTTCCCCCTCGTTCAAAGTACAATTTGGCCAAAAGGCAAAGACAAAAGAAACACACTTTCCCCAAATGTCCACCGAGCTTTCCACTGACATACAAATCATATTTCTCGCCGCTTTACTTAGTGTGCACAGATTGTTCAAATATACTCCTCGGCTATATGGCTATATGGACATAAATATGCTGTGTGTGTCATGTTGGTGCTATGTTGGCGACGTCGACGCCGGCAGAGCTCGCTAAAACTACATAAATCAAAGGAAAAGCATTTTTCTGTTTTCTGATCGTCTGCTGAATTTTGCTTTTGTTTTTGGTTCATTTATATTTTCCTTTTCCCCCAGTCTTTTTGCTTTCTGCTTTTTTGCTTTTTGCTCTTTGCTTTTCCTGGCGATTGTTGATTGCTGTCGTTGGTGTTGTTGCTTTTGCAATGGCATTTTGTACGCATGTTTCAGACATTTAACATTTTTTTTATATAGACAAGAGACAGATATCGTTCATATACACACAGACAAACACACGCACACACGCTCCGCACCGATTGATGTATATAGGTTTTTTGTTTTTATTTGTTTGCGGCGGGGCCGTGAGGCCAAAACATTTATAGGAATATTTCAAATTGCAGACGACGACGTCGCCTTAAATGAGGCTGACAAAAAGAAAAACGACAAAAAAGCCAAACATAAATAAATAAAGCAGAAGGGAATTATAATTGATAGTAACGGAGGCGGTATACCCTGCAAAAAATAATTAATAATTAAGCGTAGGATGGAAATCTATTATAAATCATTTATTTTGTGGCCAAATTCCATTTTAGTTTTTATTAATTGATATATAAATGCAACCATTGATTAGGTTTTTAATTAATATTAAATATTAAATTAAACTATTTTATAGGTCCTGAAATTAATTTAACTTTTCAATGCAATAAAGTGCAGCCTTAAGCTAAAAATTAAAACGTCCTTTGTCATTATTTGGTTTTCTTTGATGTTGGCGGATTCCCTAACCTGAAACACATCACTATCAAAAATAAACACTTCTCTATAATCAAATAGAAAAGGAACACACACAAGGCTTACCTGAACTTTGTGTATTTGCTAAAATTCAGAATATATTCACAAATTTTAATATTAGGTACTATAAAAAAATATTTCGCTTTGGTTAAATATAGAAAAGTAGCCAATTTAGATGTTTATTTTAATTTCTGTGCTAAAATAAAGATTTACCAAGAGATTTAGGGAACACCTCACCGCAAACCCCGAAGGAAAGAACCCTGGATGAGTTGGGTATATCAAATATGAAATTAATGGAAAATGCGGTTAAAAGCCAAAGCGTGTTGTTTGCTTTTCTTTTGTTGATGCTCCTGCCATCTGTCTATTTTCGTGCATATTATTTCATACGCCTTACATTCTTCGTATTTTATGCTCTTAATATACCGAAAACTATTTTAATATGTTTTATTTTTATTTTAAATGTGACACAAATGATTGTTAACGATATCGCGCGATGTTAACGTCTGCATATTGGATCGGCCGGCGCTATGTCGCTGATAATAAAATCAAAGTTGAAGTCGAAAATAAAAAATAAAGATGAAAACGAGGGGAAAGCAAACCAATTAATTAATAAAAGCCACTTGCAAAACCGCAGAAATTTTGCCACATACCAAATTATACGTATATATTGTTGTTTGAGTCGGCAGTTCCAATTCGAATTTTTCAGTTTGTCATATTCCGCCACATTATTTATTAGCAATACTTAATATATAGTTGACGATGGTTCATTTTTTCGCCTCGGTTCGTTTGTGATCCGTCCTGTTCTGGTTTTTAATTGCGCTCACACGTGCCGGCTGCTATATGAGTGGACATTTATAATATTTGTGCGATGATATATGGAATGTTTCGGCCATAAAGGGACTTCTCTGCAGCCAGCGGAAGAGTCTGTCGCACCGAAGGCAAATTAATTCGGGGAATGGCAGGCAAATTCCTTTTATTTAATCAATCTAAGAGTGAGGACGGTTTGTTTTCGTGATTCTCGGATTCACGACTCTCCTGGGAATTTAACGAACTCAACACTTTTCGAGGAATTTCACTATCGTTAACAGTGTATTTTTATACAAATGTGTGGCATTCCAATCAGCTTATTTGTGGACAAGTCATTTTTAAACACTTAGTTTTTCTTTAATTTCTTAACAATATCTATGCAAACTGTTAAAAATAATTTAATTTCACCGTTGCATTTGCTGATTTTCAAATACGGACCAATGAGGATCCTAAGACATTTACAATATTGTAAATATTTTTTTTACCAAAAGAGTTAAGAATAGTTTTATTAGCTGGAAGTAAAGTTTAGACCTTAATTAGAAGAAAATTCAAAACGCGGTTGCTTGGCAATACACTCAAAAAAGAAGAGGTTTATTATGAACGAAACGCTAAAACAACTTGGCATAAAACAAAATGCTTTAAAAATACTAAATGTTGTGATTTTTGAAAATAACGAGGACGGAAGCTAACTTCGGCAAGCCGAAGTTTTAATACCCTTGCAGATTTTACGAATTAAAACTTGACTAGACTAGCAACATGCATTAATAAACAACAAAATATTTTATAATTGAAAAAATAAAATTTTAAAATTTTTCACCCTATTGTTCCTATGGGAGCTATAGGATATAGACGCCCGATCGGCACGCGCGTTTACCCTAATGAAGGTACGCACAAAAAAATACGATTTGGAAAGTTTCATGGGAATAGCTAATATTTTGCGCGAAATATCCTGAAAAACGTCAAATTTTGACCGATTTCACCCTATTGTTCCTATGGGAGCTATAAGATATAGACGTCCGATCGGCACGCGCTTTTACCCTGATCAAGGTACGCACAAAAAAATACGATTTGGAAAGATTCATGCCAATAGCTCTTACACTGAGCGAAATATCTTCATTTTTGTGAAAGCTATATCCGATTGTTCCTATGGGAGCTATAGGATATAGACGTCCGATCGGGTCGGCTTTCAAACTTGATCTGCGTACACATGTTTTAGGACGACTGTGAAAGTTTCAAGGCGCTAGCTTTTAAACTGAGCTCGCAAACGGTATTGAAACAGACATACAGACGGACAGACGGACATGGCTATATCGACTCCCCTATTGATCCTGATCAAGAATATATATACTTTATGGGGTCGGAAACGTCTCCTTCACTGCGTTACAAACTTCTGACCAAAATTATAATACCCTCTGCAAGGGTATAAAAATTATTTAAATTTATTATTTAAGGGATAATTGTATTTTTGGAGAACAAATCAATATTCTTTGGTTTTCCGAATAGAAACATTTAAATTGGCACGAACATAAAGCTGGACCAGAAAACCGAAATCAGTATTAAAGAGCATTTCAAAAAACCCCAGCTGGAGGTTCCAGTATTCAGGGATTCCTTTCCGTATTTTGGACTTTGATAAAATGGTTGTTGTGCATTTTCGGCTGACTTTGCGATTGGCCAAGAGGCCTGCGTCGCGCGAGAGAGAGAGGGAGGGATGCGCTGCGCTGCTCACGCCCCCGCAGCGACGTCGGCAGCAAAATTTGCACAACCAGTGCGTGAGTGCGAGCGAGAGTGAGATCCGTTTGCAACATGTTGCACAGGAACTTTTTGGTAAAAAATGTAGCGTGCAAAACTAAAAGATATTTTTGATTTTCATCCATATAATCGAAATAATATTTATTAAACTATATTGCATTACTAAAATAATTTAATTTTAAATGGTTAAAAAAGGAAGTTTTCAGTTGAGTTTTTAATTGCATTGATTATTTCATAAATTTGTTTTTAAACTTAAAATTAGCGGCATGTTGCACTGCAAGACTAAAGGTAAAACATGTTGCGAAACTTTTGTTTTGTTCCCCAACAAAGTTCCAATGTTTTATTTTGGCAATATCTTTTTTTTTTAATTTTTGTAAAATATAAAAAAGAGAGGCTGCAGTTGCAGCGCTGCTCGCGCTCATTCAACTCGACTTCAACTTCAACTTGCCTCGTTCGTCATCGCCAAAGCATCTCTTCGACACGCGACTCGCACGCACACACCTGCAGTTGCGAAAATTGCAGTGAGAACGATCGTGTCCGTGTGCGCGAGAGAGAGGGAGTGAGAGCGGCAGAGGGAGAGCAAACGAGAGAGGGAGAGAGAGAGCGCGCTGCCTGCGCCGCAGTCGGCGTCGCAGCGCGCGCAGTTGTTGGCCTGCTTGGTAGTTTATTTATTCAACCGACCGATACCGTGTGGACATTATTTTACCAAGCGTTCGCAACCGCACAACACGGAGAGGAGAGCCAAGAGAGCCAAGAAACCCAGAGAGCTACGATCCGATCCGATCCAAAATCACAATACCATCATATACACGGCGGTTCGCACCGCCAGCTATCTAGTAGATAAAAAGTCGCCGCGACGAGAACGCAGAACGCAGAACCGATCCGAACCGCTAACTTGAACGCCAGAAACTCGCGTTGTCGTAATCCCCATCCGAGATCGACTCTATTTTCCAGAGCATATATACCGCAATAGTGCCGAAACTAAACTGAACTTTACTTAGCCACACTATACCATGCGATGATGAATTGAAATTACAGTAAAATAAGAGTAAAAAGTAACAAGTAAAAACCAAGTTAAGAAAAACAAGTCTCGAAACTGAAAACGAAAAACGCAAATTTATGCAGCCGCTAAATAAAAACAAAACAAAACACAAGACAGCGAATTAAAAACAGCAAATAGAATAAATCCAATAGATCGGCGCGCGAAACTCGCGTGTGTTATCTAATCTGCAAGAGAAGTACAAGAATCGGTATCGGTTCTATACTATATCTATATCTATATATCTATATCCATTGTGTGTGTGCCAGTGTGTGCGTTGCGACCTTTGTTTTTATATATTTTTTGTTGTTGTTCAAACTGTGAAACGTGCTTTACAAGCCGGGCGTTTAAAATACATACTAAATACTACAACTACACACCACAAAATAACAAAATAACCATATAAATATGGCCAACAAGCAGAGGAAATCGAGTGAATGGGCCACGGCCACCGGCACAGTACCGCTCCTGGAAAGGTATTGCAACAGCAACAGCAGCAGCGAAGAAACGGAAGTGGAAACGGAAGCCCAGATCCCCAGATCCATCCACAGAGCCCCCCTGATCCGCCACCTGCGCCACCTGCTCATCGCCGGACTGCTGATCGTCTGTTTGGTGGGCGGTACGGAGGGCCGGCGGCATGCGCCGCTCATGTTCGAGGAGTCCGACACGGGCAGGCGGTCCAACAGACCAGCGGGTAAGTCACCTCCAACTATTCCACCATCTCTGCCATATCGTATATCACTTGTTGTAATCGGGGAATAAACAGCGCCGGTTGCTAAACTAGAATAGGTTTTTAAAAAATTATTATAACATCGAAATATTCAGCAGAATGGAACTACTAAAGATTTCTTTAAAATAGATTAGAATTTCAAGTTATGATTTTTAAAGATACGTTTTATAAGCCATTTAATTGCATGGTCAAAGGGACTCAAGCTAGAACTTCTGATATTTCTATCTCCCTACCATATCGTATATCACTTGTTGTAATCGGGGAATAAACAGCGCCGGTTGCTAAACTAGAATAGGTTTTAAAAAATATTATAACATTGAAATATTCAGCAAAATGCAATTACAAAAGATTTCTTTTAAAAAGAATAGAATTTCAAGTTATTATAAGTTTTATAAGCCATTTAATTGCATGGTCAAAGGGACTCAAGCCCAGAACTTCTGATATTTCTACCTCCTCTACCATATCGTATGTATATCACTTGTTGTAATCGGGGAACAAACAGCGCCGGTTGCTAAACTAGAATAGCTTTTTAAAAATATTGTAACATTGAAATATTCAGCAGAATGGAATTACCAAAGATTTCTTTAAAATATAATAGAATTTCAAGTAACGATTTTTTTGTAAGCCATTTAATTGCATGGTCAAAGGGACTGAAGACTAGAACTTCTGATATTTCTACCTCCTCTACCATATCGTATGTATATCACTTGCTACAATCGGGGAATAAACAGCGCCGGTTGCTAAACTAGAATAGGTTTTTGTTTAAAAATATTATTATAACATCGGAATATTCAGCAAAATGCAATTACCAAAGATTTCTTTTAAATAGAATTTCAAATTATAATTTCCAATAATAAGTTTTATATGCCATTTAATTGCATGGTCAAAGGTACTCAAGCCCAGAACTTCTGATATTTCTACCTCCGCTGTGGTTGCATAAGTTGCCATTGCCCATTGCGCATACGCCGTGTCGGCTGCCGGCTATATGGATATATGGCTATATGGTGCGGGGAAATCCCCGTTCCCGTTTCGCAGGTAGAATTCCAGCCTGTGTCGAGGCGGGACCTGCTCGCACCTCTAATCCCGCCAGGGGTTTCGGGATATTGTACATTGTATATGGGCCATGGGATATTCCCGGCGGCACAGCACTCCCTTTTTTTTTATTGTACAAGCTAATCCGGAAAGCGGGAATTCCCTTCCGCTCGCTGCCTGCACTGCGCAGACGCGTCGGCGTCCGTAAGCCGCTTACCAGAGATAGATACCAAAATAGATTAATATATATATAGACCGTTTCGGATCGGATCGGGCCAACTGGAGAGCGGCACCCAATTGCAATTTGTTGCAACTCACACGCTTGATTAGCTGCATTTCCTGTTTGGCTCCCCGGCTCCCTATACTATATCGCATACTATTATGTTCCCAAGTTGCCGTTTTTTTTCTTGGTCCGCTGCCGTTGTTGCATTTTCAATTAAAAACAGATTGCGGTTTACGTTGCAGCTAGCGACTTTGAAGCGTTTCTCGGCTTACACACAAAACGCGGCTCGATGGTAATGATGATTAACAGGTTCTGTTAGGGCTTAGTGGATGCCCTGTAGTGTAGATCCCGGGATTTGAGCCGGAACCGGAACGAATACGTGTACGCTTAAAGGTAATCCCTTAAGCCATCAACTTTGAACTCGAATATCTCGAGAAGTAAGCTACGTAACTTTACCAATTCTTTTGCAAACTGAACTTTCCAACCGCCCCGGCCGCATATCAAAGTTTCCCCCATATCGTTGGTCGTTTTCATAATGTTGCCACGGCGAAATGAGTTAAGCTCGGTAATTGGTTCGGGCCACGATCGTAGGCAATCGTAGATGGCACACTTTGACGCCCACGCGCAACTTGCATCCTACCTATTTGGCACCCACTTCCCGAGATCTCTGTTTATACAAAGTCTTAGCATAATTTAGTCGTTATATGGCTGCGAGCCCCCAGCCACCAGACACACTTATCCGCCGTCGTTGTTGCTTTTTCCTCGTTTTATTTTTAAAGAATGAATGAAAAGCCAACGCACAGGCAGAGTAGCAACAACTACCAAAACAGTTCTTTTTTTTTTTGGTCGTCCGTATATATATTTTTTTTTTGCTTTTGGAACCCAACTGGTGGCTAATCAAACGTCAAAGACCACGCAGACAGACCCAGCAAACTACCAGCCAATTCGTTTTGTTCATTTCGCATTTAATTTAACTGATTAACAAGCTGACCGACCCCTTCGCCATCCCATTCCCATTCCCATCGGCAACCCACGGTGCCGCCATTCGTCAGCATAATTCATTTATTCAACTGTCTGCCGCCCAGTTAGGTGTTAAAAAGTTGTTAACTTATTTTTAATGAATGCGTGTAAAAACACAACACTCATACAAACGGGCAAAAAGCAGAAAAAAACAGAAGAAAAAAAAACGAAAACCGTCCGAAAAAAAACGACCGAAAAAAGGCAATGAAAAAAGATCAAGATGTGCCTACGTAGAGCCCCCAACAAGCCGCCGGCAACGGCAAAAAATCGTTCCGTTCATTTCGTTTCGTTTTGGGATCTCGGCAAACATATCATGATCAGCGGCGGAAAACGAAACGCGAAGAAGATGAAAAAAAGCTAGCTAGGTGGCTAAAACCGACTCTATGAATACCCTGCTGAAACTGTGGAGACATACCTATGTTTATTATCTTTTTAAATTTATATAGTTAAAGACCGTAGCTTTAGCTTAGGCCAAGTTATGCAGAAAACAATTTATATAACCATTATATTTTAGAAACAAAGTTTGAGGACTCTCAGGCAGGGTATTTAAAAGTGGGGAGGGGGGGGGACGTTGGTTCGGCACGAAACACGTTAAGACCGAGAGGCCCCCAGCTAAAGCCAAAGCCAAAGTCTGTCTGACGTTTGTTTGGGGCCGTCTGCGACAGCCACCCGAAATGAGCCACCGCCGCCGTCCTCGTTGTCAGTTGCATGTCAGCTGGCCAAAAAGGGGGGGGCTTCGGCGCCCCTGGTGCCCCCGCCCCGAAATGCAACCAATTTGTTGCATTTGCCACACAGACGCGTCGAGGAGCAGACGGAGACGAGGCGTCGCCGCAGCGTGTGGGCAGAGGAAGCACTTAATGCCCACAAGGTGTCAAATTGCAGAAAACTCCGCTTCGCCCACCCCGAAAATATAAAAAAAAAAACGAAACAAAATAGGAGAAAAATATAATACACACGCCAAAAAAATAAAAAAAAGCCTATGTGTCTGGCGTAAATTAATTTGGCCAAGAGCGTAGGCAAAATAGATACGATACGATCTTATTGAATCGAATCCGTAGGCTCCACGCCGTTTCCGTTCCAATGAATGAAGTTGCAATTTGATTGGGCAGAAGGCAGAAAAGACAGGAAACCCTGAAAAGAGACGGGGAGCCATAGAGAGAGTGAGACGGCGAAAAGTTGACAGCTAATAACAGATTTGTGCTGGGCTCTTTTTTTATGGGCGCCATCCATCTGCACATCTCAGTGGCATTTGCCATGCCTTTCATTAGCACATGCCGCATTCTTGCCATGCATTAATTATCAAGGCGCAATCAGCGCTACATCAGCGCCCCCCATATCCCCCATATCCCCCATATATCTGGGGCCTTTCTCTAAATGAGAGATGCATTCGCACGCATCATCTAAATTGCGGATCGCTGATAGGCGGGCTTCAGCGGCTCTGAAAAAGCTCTGAAGGTTCTATCAGTTGCCGAGCATCAATTTGCCATCTCTGGGGGAGGAGGGAATACAAATTCAATGGGTTCGGCCGAAAGTTCAAGTTTTTAATTTACTAAATAATTTGAAATAATTCAGCAATTTAAAAAAAAATAAATGTATTCAAATGGTATGGCAAATGTTGAAAATATTTCACAGATTTGCGAAACCCTTTGATGACTATTTCAACAGCCAACCGAGAAAATATAATAGAATATTATTCGATGCCTTTGGCGTTGAGCAAACTATATTTTTTCTATATAAAAATTGCTGGCAATTTTTGTCGCCAAACAAACCATTGGCAATTGGGCATGCAATTGCATAGCTCGACAATTAAATTTACCCTTTAATAGTCGCACATGGGGCAAATCTTTCGCTTCGTATTTTGTATTTTGCATTTTCGTGCTAAAAACGCCCACCAAAACAAGAAGAAAACCCAAAAACGCCCGCAAATCGCGTGTCGCGTGACGCGTTTTGCCGGTTGTTTCTATTGTTGTTGTTATTGTTGTCTGCCCATTCATTGCAACCCCAAAAAAATACAAAATAAAAATAAGAATAAGAATAAAATAAAAGGAATACATCCTCAACATATTTGTGCAACTTATCAGCGCATTTAAAATTAGCTAGCAACAAGAACAACAACGAAACCGCCAACGTATTCAGTTGTTGGGTTGTTCTTATTGTTGTTGTTTTAGTTGTTGCTATAGTTGTTGTTCTTGTTGTTGTTGTCGACATCTGTGCGGGGCAAGTCGCAGTCGCGTGATTTGGTTTGTAAATGGGAAGGAAGGCGAACACGAATGGTATATGTGTAGGTTATACGTATTCGTATTCGTATTCGTATATATATGGGGGTATGAAAAATGCAAAAAACTAAAACCAAAAATAAAAATAGTCATTGAAAATGTTTACGGCCAGGCCGGGTCTTCATTGTTGTTGTTGTTCTTGTTGTTGTTGACTGTTCCAAAATAGAAAAAAGTTAACTCACACGCAACAAAAACGGAAAAATAGGAAGATATATGTATGAAATGCAACAGATATATAAATGATCCATAGATCGTTTGGCATTTACAGACGGAATCCAAATTGCATTCATATTATAGATTCTACATTATAGCGGCCACTGAAGCAAAATACAATTTGCAAAGATTTATGACGACCCCGAAAATAGTTGATCTAGTGACTTGCATATCTTAATTTCTTATTTATTATTTATTGGAGAAGAGTTCTTTAAGTTTTTGCCACGAAACGCACTGTACTCTTTGGCTTTTTGTGCAAATTTCGGACTTTTACATAAGCCGAAATGCAGCGTAGGTAAAATTGCTTTCCTTTCTTTTCTTTTTTAGCAATTCTTCTTGGCTAGAAACCCAGAAGAAACGCTGAAGGAAAGAGACAGAGAAGATACAGCTAGAAGAACGGAACGAGCCCCTCTTTTTTGGTCTTGTGGCTTTTCGGGGCGTTTCGCTGCGGCTTTTTCACTTTTGAACTTTATATTTCTCCTTGTGCAATCGGTAGTTTGGGGGAGTGGCGGTGGGTGGTTGCTGGTGGTACACCTGGTGGGTGGGTGGGGGATTATTTGTCCATCGGTTTGGTTTTGTTGTTGTTTGCTTTGTTGCCACCGCCATCCGATTTTGTTTGCTCTCTCTCGCTCCGCGGCTGTCATAAATTATCAACGACCAAGCCACCACAAGCGATGATGACAGAAGAACCCCCCCTGCAACGCCCCTGCCCCGCCCACCAGTGGCACACCTACACTGGGAAAAAATGAGGTAAAGATAAAGGCATTTCCCTGATTATACCATACCAAAAACTATACAAATATCTCTAGTGATCTCGCTTTTCTCGCCGTGCACCTCTTGCCGCCTTTGAGCGACGCACTTAATCAACCATTAGAAATCTTCATTAGAACTGGCGTGTCCCCAAAAAAAAAAGAGAAAAAAATAAAGTAAAGGAAAGGCATTTTGACTTTGTTTGCTTTGCACTTAAATAATTTAATTGCTTATAAAACAAACAAGTCGCTGGCGAACCATTTGAACAAATATTTCATTTGGTTTTATCGCCGTTTTTGTTGTTCGCCGCCTTTAACTCATTCCATCACGATTGATTGATTGACCGATGGACTGATTGACAGTTCAACACTCGTAGCTGTCAAATTTGAACAACTCCAAGAGTGCAATCATCAATTTACAAACTCAAAATCAAAATCTGAATCCTTTTGCAGGCGATCTAAAAAATGTATAACATCGGAAAATCTCGGGAAATCGATCTTAAAAAAGAATACCCATCGGCATTTATTTTATTTGTCATTCGCCATTTACCATTTGCCTTTCATTGTATTTTATGATATCCCACGTTGAGCTTTAACATTTGCGCTAATTATTTTGCCACAATTAATTAAGGCGCAAAATAAAAATAACATTAAACAAGAGCAGCAAAAAACGAAGGAAAATAAATAAATATATAGGGGCTATAGAGAATATATACATTTCTCGATTTATAGATAAATGAAAACAGCTTCGGCCTGGTCTATATATTTTCGCACAGCTATATGCACCGATCTGTGCTGATCTTTTAACTCAATTAAAAGCGCGTACGAGCGCCAAAATTTTCAAAGGCACTTCGCTCTGTCCCTGTATATATAAACCCATATATATATATATATATGGCGGTGTGTATATAAGGTGTATGATATAGTGTGTGTGGGACTACAAAAAATAGCCGACAATTCGACGCCGCTGGTTCTGCGTCATGTGAGTCAGCGACTGTAACGCATTTGGCAACAGGCGAAAGTCTTTTGGTCCATTTTCCATTTTCCGTTTTCCTTTTGGCCACCAAAGCAACCAAAGCCACCAACACGATGACACATGTGCCCCCGCCCCCCTTTTAGGCATTTTGGTCCTGTTTCTTTCGACTGTAATTAGCACATTGCAGAACCACGAAAAAAGAACGGAGACCATTAGTTTGTTGTCTTTATGCTGCGCCAACGAACACCCCACAAATTGGTCGAGAACAAAGCTTGATATTGTAAAAATATCGAAATTATCGATAATATCGATCATTTTCAAGCTCTATTGGAAATAGTTGTATTTTTAATAATATTCGAAACTATTTCTAGATATTATTTCTATATTTCTGAACAAATACCAATCGAAATAGGAAAGTTCGGAAAGTTTTTTCTACCATTTCTTTGACATTTCGTGTTTTTGTGTCGCCTGGCAACGGAAAGTGCTGCCGCAGAGGATGTCTTTAGTATTTTTAACATTTGTTTGCTAATGATTCGTATGCTGCAAATGTTTGCCCAGACACTTTCGAGTTTTGACTCATCTTTGTCCGTTGATGCACCATAATTTGTTGCACATTCTCTCTTCTGTGTGTGTTTGTGTGAGTCAATGCACTGCGAAAAAATGGGAAAAATAAAGGGTAGCTGCGGCGGCAAAAGACGAAGATGAGCGTTCGCTCACAAGAACAATTTATTTCTAGACATTTCGTCTTAAATTAAACTTAAAAATAAAGCGTGCGGAATGCTCTTGTGTTGTTGCTGTTTACGTTCACCCACGCTGCATTTGTTCATTGTTATTTTGCACAGATTTTTGGTGCAAAATATTTACATGGATATTGTTCGAATTTCGGTGTTATTCCCATTCGGCTTGTCAATCAATTGGAAATGATCAGAGATTAATTCGCCCATAAACGAAATCGAATTCGGCCCTGTTAAGTGCAGGGGCAAACAAACAAATAGCAATTTTCGCACAAATCACAGAAACAGAAATTGGCCGCGTTTTTTCTTTTTAATTTTTTTGCTCGCGGTCATACATCAAATGTCTAGACAAATTGTGGCAACACAACAACAATCATAATAATGGCAAAAACAACAGCTGAGGTTCAAAACAGGAAGTGGAGTGTCAGGAGAGCGAGATAGCGCCAAAGATGGGCCAAAAAAGCCCCGTGAATATTATTCATTATTTCGATTATGGCCTTATAATTTTCCCAATTTTCGTATCTTGCAACCGCACCTCCCCAACTCGCAAACTCCCCAATATTTATTTATTTACGACTGTTTCCCTGATTGTTTAACGTTAAGCCCCTTCTCAAATTATAATTAGGTAATTTGCGATTTCGCCTGGTCACAATTAAATTAAATTTCTATTTAATTAATTTGATTGTTATGCGAGACACTTTCTGTGAAATGTGTGACAGGGCGGGATCAAGACTTGCAGTATGATTAATGGACCTGCCTGGGGATTATCGCTATATGTATCCCCGACAGTCCCCCCGATCATCTGGTTGATCTGCATTCAGCCTTAGCAGCTCCTCCTACTTATGTATTTAGTTGTTGCTGAGCTCTGCTGCCCTGTGCACATATAAATCTATTATTTTCATTGTTTCATTCTCTGTTCTGTTTCATTTTTGTTGTTGTATTTAAATTGTTTCGCACGCAAATAAAACTGGCGCCAATGACAAGCGGCAACAACAAAATTGATAAACGTCGCGCGTCGTTAGCGCCACTTATCACGTATACGCCATGGCGCCGTCGCCAGAGATTCGGTGCTTTTCGACTGCTTTCGGCGGTCCTCCTCTCTCAATGGCTCACTGGTTTGCTGGTGGGTGGTTAGATTGACCCAAAAATGAAAAAAAATAATAATAATACAAATTACCCAGCACCACTATCACGTGTATTTGGCTAATTAGTTTATGGTCGCTCCCCCGTTTTTCGCTGTCTATTAGTTTTTACTATTCCCGGCCATTTGGCGAGCAAATGCGAAAACGTCGGAGGAGCGATTATCAGGGCAGCATGGCCAGAGATATGGAATCGTGAATGATGTGTGCGATAACCGCGGGGGAGCCACAGAGCCGCAGAGCAAAAACAACTCGCAGCGCCGAGCAACAGGTGTCAACTGCCGGCGATTTGATACACACAGCGAAAAAATGTTTATATATTATTATTTATAACTACAAGATGCCGCAATTCTTGTGAAGTCGATTGGTGTAAATATCTAAAAAATACAAGTTATAAAGAAACACTTTTTTCTACTTATAACGCCTAGCGATTCCAGCGCGTTTTCCTTGCGACTTTGACGCGTTTTTTAAAATTTAATTTAATTAAATTTTTCTCGCCGCTCAGGCGGCTTTTAAAAACTCATTGCCATGAGACTGCGAAAGTTTCCGATTTTGGGCATTTGCCTTTTTTATCGCTTTTTATGCGGCGCTTTGTCTTTTTGTTTCGTTTACATTTTTTATGAGTGGCGCCAAAAGTTTTAGCATAATTTTGCCGAGACACCGACACCGAGTTAGTGTTGGCATTTTCAAATATATTATTAATATAACGCGTCGCGTTTTCGATTTGCATACGATTTGTGGCATTTTGTGCGAACTAACGAAGCGCCCCACATCGAAAAGGTAATCCCAAAAGAGTTGCTAATGAAATTGAGACTATCAAAGTGGATGATGCCCCTCTTTCCGATCTAATCCCACAATTTGACACTTGTTGGCGCCCCAGAGAGACGCCGCCCCTACTTCTTGATTCCATTTATGTACACTGAAATTTATTTATTGATGTATATTTTTGTATAATTACAAATGTAAAAACCAGATAGATTTTTAACCTACTGAATATATTTTCTTTTTTGGCTTTACCTCTTCACAAATCACTTGAAAATAAATACGAAAATCTTTTCTCTGTGTAGTGGCTTGAATTTGTAATTGAAAACGCTGCCGGAAGCGACTCAACGCCTCTCAGCGAATGTGGCGCCAGTTTTTTTTTTTTTTCGTATTTTGTATTTTGTTTGCTTTGCCGCTTTTGGCTGACAACGTTCTGCAATTCTGATTGCATCGGTCTGCCCACCCGAATCGGAGTGGAAAACCTGAAAAGCTGAAGGCCCGAACCCAAATACGAAATACGAAGAAGGCCTCTTTCGATTGAAGTTAATTAGTTGCTGATCGATTGGCAATCCCCCTTGGATCTCATCTTCCACTTGGGCTGTGGGCGTCTGTCATTTGGTTGCTATGAATTTTCATTATTATTAACCTCCCTGATATATGGGCAATTGCACTGGCAACTGGCGCCGGGAAATTGAACAAAAAAAGCAAAAAAAATCCCATAGATCTTAAATGGCAATTGAGGAAACACACAACAATTTATTTATTTTATTCCCATTTCTCTACTTTCAGTCACCGAATGTCAGTTTGGCAAAGTCGTGCGCGAATTGGGCTCGACCTGGTATGCGGATTTGGGTCCACCCTTCGGAGTGATGTACTGCATCAAGTGTGAATGCGTGGCGGTAAGTGATCAATTTATTATTATTTAAAATTTAGTGACTAAAATGTGTAGAATATCTTAAAAATATGCCTGAAGAACTATTGAAAAATTCACCTCAAATGCAAATGGCTAAGAAATTCCGACTGATGGGCGGTTCCCCGAGCCAATTGACTAATGACCGTCGACATTCGCTACAAGCAGAGGAAAATCGGAAAACGGCAAGCAGGGAAACAGGGAAAAGTGCCACTACTGAAAGGCAAATGAAAATGATTGTGTTTTCGCTTTGGACGCGCCTAATTTATGGCATTTCCACGCATGATTAATATCGATTTTAAAGCTCTTTCTGCGATATGTTACGAATCAGAGCCAAATATTCTTCAGCCTTGCCAAATTGAAAAACAAATTCAGCATTTTCGTGGATGCTCGATCGAATTACGCAAAAATGCCAAAGCACGAAAAAAATTATATATTGCAGTGCGATACGACAGAAAACAAAAAAAGGGGGAACGAGGGCAAGACTGAGCAATTTTCCCAGGCGACACATAAAAATGTCACACTCGTGTCCTCGCCGGTTAAAAAAAAAAGAGCACCAGATCGGATCGGATCCATACAGATATAGATGGATGATAGATATACGTACGTAGATGCGTATTCGTGGTCGAGAGACAAAAATTAATTGACGCCACCGGGCGTGAGTTGTTGTTGCTAGTCTGCGATGGACCAGACGGGCCAGATATATGCAGATATATAGATATATAGGGTATGGGTATACCGTATATATAATATTGGATGGTCGGTCACAAGCTGCGATTTCTCCAGTGCGCACATCTATATGATTTTCTCTTTTTGTTAACTTTTAATGTGCATTGCATAAAAGTCAGCTTTGAAATTAATTAATTATAATTTATGTTGGCTGCAAGCGTCGCAAATGAGCACATCATAAAATTATTTAAAACATGTTGCTGCTGTTGAACTTTAAGCACAGCGGCAACATCATCATCAGCGGCGCTGGCGACCAATAAAAATTAATAATAAAAAGCAGAGGAACATCAAAAAGACAAACAGCAGCCGAACCAAAGAGCTCTGGCGAATTCATAAAAAATAAAAACAAAAAACAAAAAGCAAAAAACGAGGAAAAAGGAAAATAATTATAAGAAGGCATACATACACACAGCATTTCTATATTTATTCAGGCCCGAACCGAACCGATGATATTGGGAGGAGATGGCAGCTTGATTTAGACCAGATTCGGTTGCTAACAAGGCATAAATCAAAGCGACCGGTGCGGCTGACAGGCCTGGGAATCTGCATTACTAATTCCAATTAATTTTTTATTTCGCCGCTCTATTCGCATCTTAATTCTTATTTTTTCTCTTTATTTTTTCCTATTTTTTTTTTAGATACCCAAGAAGCGCCGCATCGTTGCACGCGTCCAGTGTCGCAATATTAAGAACGAGTGTCCACCGGCCAAATGCGATGATCCCATCTCGCTGCCCGGCAAATGCTGCAAGACCTGTCCCGGCGATCGGAACGGTAAGTCCATGAGATCCTCATACAATATCGATTACAAATGCAGTCTAGGGGGGGTTCCTAACCATTGAGAACTCAAAAGATCACACTGAAATATTTCCCAGCCATTATTTGCACTTAATGTTTCAATATTTTGACACTGACGATGGCCTGTTTGATGGCATAAATCGGGATTAAAAGATATTAGCCTTATATATAAATGGTAACATAAACATACTTACCTATGCTTTGGCGTCCACATAGCCATGAATAATTAAGCGTAGCATCCACGGCAGCTGCCACACAAAAAACAAGATGTTATGATGCCCCCCCCCAATCGCCCCGCCCATCTGATATATACTATATATGCGATATATATATATGTGGCCGAAACGCGTAAATTGTTTATGAAAAATTACTTGGCCCGAAATGAAGGTCAGCGCTACGCAATTTATATTTCGTTTTTATGTCTCAGTCAGCGTCTGTCGCCGACGACGAAGATGATGATTCCTATTCGGATTCCTATTCCTTGGTCCACTACTTCGGATAATGGCCACCTAGAGCATGTGGTTCCGCGCTTTTTTTTCTATTTTTTAGCTTTCTCGCTTTGTTTTATTTCGTTGACTTTTGCATTTATTTATTGTATCTGTGTATCTGTATTTTTTAGTGCCCGCTTTGTTTTATTTTCATTTTCAATCTATTTTATATCGCCCGAACGGCGCCTAAAGTTGTTTCTGTTTCTGTTTCTGGGTTTCGGGGGGCAATACTTAGAGTATTTCAAGTATTTATTCGAGTGGTCTGGGGTCCCATTGGGGCGCACGTGCCGCCCTCGAAGACCGCATTAATAGACCAATTACCGGGAGCTAAAGTCTGAACCGAACTGAGCTCTTTCACTTTTTTCTGGGCTGTGCATAATTTACGATTAGACTGATTTACCATTTGGCTTTGGCCAATTTTCCGCCCGAATTCAAATCACAATTTGTTTGGTTAATTTCCAGAAAATGTGACGAACTCTCTGCCTTTTTCTCTGTGACATTTTTCACATAATCAGGCGAGTGCTGTCTGAATTCCAGTCGCCAAGTTGCTGCTGCATGTTGCATGTTGCTAGTAGCTGGTTGCCAGTTGCCAGTTGCCCGTTGCTAGTTGCTAGTTACCAGCAACTGGTGTGGCATGGGGCAAACTGGTTGCCAGGGAATGGGGTTAAGGGGGCTGCGGTCGAGGGGTTAAGGCGGTCGCCGCATCACATCATTAGTTTCCGTTTTGCGGCAATTTTTCATTTCTCATTTTTCATTTTGCATTTTTCATTTTTCATTTGCTTATGCAAAGAGCCGTTGACCCGCCGTTGGGACCTTCTGTTTTCCACCCGAAAACAATTTCACTTTTCCGCTGCATTTTGCCACGTCGGCTATGCTCATTTGCAGTTTTATTTTATTTTTATTTTACTGGATTTTATTTTGTTTTTGCCTTTATGGCACATCCAAAAAGAAACTCCCAACGCAACTCGTTTGCCATAAATAGTTAGAAGGCACGGGCGCGGCTTTTCCAGCGAGACTCTTTGGCTCTCACGCAGTCACCGGCTGACTAGTCAGCCATCTAGCCACTAGCTAGCCATCTAGCCATCTAGCTAGCCATCTAGCCGGGGCTATTGTACAAATATTTCGCAGCAACAACAGCAAAGGCAAAAGCAAAGGCAACAAAGCATCTACAGCAGCCAGGCTCGCAACGATCGTTTCCAAAGTTATTTTTTGCCTAACTTGGTTTTTTGCCCCATACTCCGCATATTATGCCTGCACGCAGAAAAAAAGGATTGCGAGAATATTAGAAAATATTTGTAAAATGTTTCAAAATATTTTAAAATATTATAAGATGTAATATCTTAAAAGAAAATGGTATAAATTCAATTTGAAACGACATCAGTTAGCAATAGATTTAGGTTCAAAGCAAAGTAGGCCTCTGCTGCTTCGCTCTTAGCCAGGCTCCACCGTACTCGTGCTCGTCCTGGGCAAGTTGTCAGGCCCGAAGAGCCGATGCCTGGAGCTTGAAGCTCATGACATGGCCATATAATCAACATCAACAATTGCCTACCTTCGTTAAATGTCCATTTTGGGATCGAATCTTTTGGCTTCTCCCCTGGCTCCCCTGCGACCACGAAATCCGAAGAAACAGAAGACCGAGCGGCATTAATTTATGCCTGGTATTTTTTGTTCGTTCATTTTTATAATGACATAACTCGGGCATTTTAACGCTTATTAAATTATCTCATTTGCCGCCACAAACGGCGGGCGGTCTCCGCTGGAGAGAAAGAGAAAGGGAGAGGTGAGGGAGAGGGAGAGGGAGAAAGGGGCATATCCCCAGGTAGACAATAAAAGTTAATGTTTTCGATTCCATCGACTCACATCGCATCGCATCGCATCGATCCCATTAGGCGAGTCGCCAGAGTTGACAATTCAACTTGATGACATCTTTTGTGGTCGTGGTCGCGGTCCCTTCCCCTTCCCCCTGCCCCTAAAAAAAAGATATACCAAGATCCCGAGATCGGAATTCAGATCGAAGAGATGCAAGATCTCTCTCCCAGCAAAAGCAGCAACTTTGTTGTGCCACAAAAGGATCGCCGGGCCAAATTCATTTTTATGGCCGGGCGTGAGGTGCGCCATCGAACAATAAAATCCTCAACTTTATCTTTATCTCTATCTCTATCTGTATCTGTATCTGTATCTTTATCGGTTCTCCATCGGCAGCGGCGAACGGAACTGTCTATTATATTCCCACTCTCCGGCCTTTTTATTTTCCCCTAAGTGGAGATTGTGGATCGCGATAAGGCTGAGAAATAGAGCTAACAAGGCGTCGGGTCGGGTTCCGAAAACTATCTGAATCGTATGATCTTGGCCGGAGATTAAAATGGGTTCGGTTTTTTTTTTTTTGGGGTACTGAAGGGGGGAGAGCGAAAGAGTTGCACACTGGGCGATCTGTTATGATTTTTCAATGATCATAGAATCGTATATCTCAGAACTGATCCCATTCAATAGCTGTTGTAACATTTGTGTCGTAAAATACTTCTCAAAACCCTCGGTTTATGATTGTTCATGGTGTTGATCCCACACCTGGTAATATGACATGAAATTCGAGACAGATTTATCAAATCATTCTCACGTGCTCGGGGTTTCTGTGGAAACCACCGTATAGCTCCGATCGCCGCACATTCGGGAAACACTTTCAAACGATTCTATTCTCGGTTTTTTGTTTGTCACCCCATCCCCGTTCTTACCGTTTCTTCAGTTTTGTTAATGAGCTGCCGCCGAGATTCTTTTGGGGCCGGCCCCACATACCAAAGCGTTGACTCAATGCCGAGGTGTCGTTTGTCTTTCGGTCGCGGCTTTGTCGGCTCAGTCCCCGTCCATCTGTCCGTTTGTCCGCTTGTCCGTTTGTCCGTTGACCGCCTGTCCGCTCAAGGGGTAACCCCTTCCACCTTCCACCGGGCAACGTGTCGTCGTCTTTGTGCGCACCAAAACTCATTTATCTTGGCTTACAGCGAGCAGGAGGGAAAAAAAGAGACCTACAAAAAAAAAGAACGAAATTTTCATTCATCTGCAAGCGCGATTCAAGGGCAGAGATGCCTGCAACTCCGCTGGAAAGACACCAATAAGCCCCAAGAATGTAGAGCCACAAATTGAAAAGAGGGAAAAAATAAAGAGTCGAGGAAAAAAGCGCAGTCTAAAGCCAAAACTGGCTGGCTGGCGAAGTGGCTCGTATTAAGATCAGGCGATAAGATCGGACAGCAGAAGCCGCGGCGAAGAGGCCCTGGAAGAATCGGAAGACTCGGAAGACTGGGAAGACCTGGAAGACCAGAGACCCTGGTGCGGGGCTCTCAATAAAATGCTATACAAGGTGTCAGATTTGTCGCCCTTCATTATGCGATGGCGGCCCGAAGTTCTCTTTTTGTTCCTTTTTTTTTTGTATATTTCTCTTTCTTTCTTTTTTTGCGGCTTAAAGGCCGGGGATTTGAGTCGAAGAAGAAGAAGGAGCAGCATAAAATAATCGAAATGCCAATGCGGCATCATCGACAGCGCGAAGAAGAATCAGAGGTCCAGTCTTCAGTCTCCAGTCTACTGCAGTCTTCCACCTCTTTCCCCGTCTCTCTGGCTTTAATCAGCTTTTGTCGGACTGCCACTTCTAACGAACTGAGATTCCAATTGTGATTCCGATTTCGATTCGGATTCTGATGATGGTGATTTATGCGCTGAGTTACCAGTTACCGGGTGTCAATCAGCGGGACAGCGGAAATGTGTCCACCCACTTTCACGCCAAAGAAACGGAGGCCAAATGAGCGTGTCATGTGGATTCCGGGAACTCCGGTAGACAAAGCACTTCCCTAGTTAGATGTAGGTTAGACTTCCCGTTCGCAGCTCTCCGTTCTACCTGCCCTCAATTTATGCACGATTAATGAATGCCACCTGGGTGGTGAGTAGAGAAGAAGGTCTTAGTTCAGAGTCCTACCTGGGTGCCATTGCCATTCATGATGATCCCCTGGCATCCGTCCGCCTTTCATTCACATAGTCACATTCATAGTCACTAAGACTGAAACCCGGAATTCTGGACGGTGAATGGTGATTTTCGGCTGCTTTGAAGCATTTGTTGCTATCTAAATTCCATTTAAGGTCGAACCTTATCGCACAGCATCTCATTCTCTATTTTATTCCCTCTTGCATCTTGCAGATACGGATGTGGCCTTGGATGTGCCAGTGCCCAGCGAAGAGGAAGAGCGCAACATGAAACGTAAGTAGATTTTACATTATTTAAGATCAATTTTAATTTGATATGCGGCCAGTTAAATTTGAACTGGTCGAAAAGAGTATTTCATGTAAAAACGACATGTGTTTTGCATGTCCTGAAATTAAGATCAATTTTAATGTAATGATTCAATTTCTAATGTAAAAACGATATGAAATTTACATGATCATATCGATTTTACGGGAACATTTTTAAATCCAAAAATATCACCTAACACCTGCTTTCCATCCTCATCCCCTTTCATCACCTCTAGATTACGCTGCGTTGCTCACGGGCCGCACCTCCTATTTCCTCAAGGGCGAGGAAATGAAGTCCATGTACACCACCTACAATCCACAGAATGTGGTGGCCACCGCCCGGTTTCTGTTCCACAAGAAGAACCTCTACTACTCGTTCTACACCTCGGCGCGGATCGGTCGTCCCCGGGCCATTCAGTTCGTCGACGATGCCGGTGTCATTCTGGAGGAGCACCAACTGGAAACCACACTGGCCGGGACTTTGAGTGTCTACCAGAATGCCACCGGCAAGATTTGCGGCGTTTGGCGTCGTGTGCCCCGCGATTACAAGCGCATCCTGCGCGACGATCGCCTCCATGTGGTGCTCCTCTGGGGCAACAAGCAGCAGGCCGAGTTGGCCCTCGCCGGCAAGGTGGCCAAGTACACGGCCCTCCAGACGGAACTCTTTAGCTCGCTCCTCGAGGCGTCGCCCCAGTCGGATCCCCAGCTGGCCGGAGCAGGCGGCACGGCGATTGTGTCCACCAGCAGCGGTGCCGCCTCCTCGATGCATCTCACCCTGGTCTTTAATGGCGTCTTTGGCGCGGAGGAGTTTGCGGATGCCGCGCTGAGTGTCCGCATCGAGTTGCCCGAACGCAAGGAGCTGATCTTCGATGAGATTCCCCGCGTGCGCAAACCCTCCGCCGAGATCAATGTCCTGGAGCTCTCCTCGCCCATCTCCATTCAGAATTTGCGCCTGATGTCGCGTGGCAAGTTGCTGTTGACCGTCGAGTCCAAGAAGCATCCCCACCTGCGCATCCAGGGACACATTGTGACCCGTGCCAGCTGCGAGATCTTCCAGACCCTCCTGGCGCCGCACAGCGCCGAATCCTCGACCAAGAGCAGCGGCCTCGCCTGGGTCTATCTGAACACCGACGGCTCGCTGGCCTACAACATCGAAACGGAGCACGTGAACACCCGCGATCGGCCCAACATCAGTTTGATCGAGGAGCAGGGCAAGCGCAAGGCCAAGCTGGAGGATCTGACGCCCAGCTTCAACTTCAACCAGGCCGTCGGCAGTGTGGAGAAGCTGGGGCCCAAGGTTCTCGAGTCGCTCTACGCCGGCGAGCTGGGCGTCAATGTGGCCACCGAACATGAGGCTAGTTTAATCCGCGGACGTCTAGTTCCCCGTCCAGTGGCCGATGCCCGTGACTCCGCTGAGCCTATTCTGCTCAAGCGAGTGCAGGAGGAGGATCCCCATGCCGTGGGCATGGCCTGGATGTCCATCGACAACGAGTGCAATTTGCACTACGAGGTGACCCTCAACGGTGTGCCCGCCCAGGAATTGCAACTGTATCTCGAGGAGAAGCCCATCGAGGCCATTGGAGCGCCTGTCACTAGGAAACTACTCGAGGAGTTCAACGGCTCGTATCTGGAGGGCTTCTTCCTCAGCATGCCGTCGGCGGAGCTGATCAAGCTGGAGATGAGCGTCTGCTATCTGGAGGTCCACTCGAAGCACTCCAAGCAGCTGCTTCTGCGCGGCAAGCTGAAGAGCACCAAGGTGCCGGGTCACTGCTTCCCCGTCTACACGGACAACAATGTCCCGGTGCCGGGCGATCATAACGACAATCATCTGGTTAATGGCGAGACCAAGTGCTTCCACTCCGGACGCTTCTACAACGAATCGGAGCAGTGGCGCAGTGCCCAGGATTCCTGCCAGATGTGCGCCTGCCTGCGCGGTCAGTCCAGTTGCGAGGTCATCAAGTGTCCTGCCCTCCGTTGCAAGGCTGCCACGGAGCAGCTGCTCCAGCGGGAGGGTGAATGCTGTCCCAGTTGTGTGCCCACACAGCAGTCAGCCGTACAATCCTCGCCGGCCGTGAATGCCAGCGATTTGCTGCAACAGCGACGCGGCTGCCGGCTGGGCGATCAATTCCACACGGCCGGAGCCAGCTGGCATCCATTCCTGCCGCCCAACGGCTTCGACACCTGCACCACCTGCAGCTGCGATCCGCTGACCCTCGAGATCCGGTGCCCCCGGCTCGTCTGCCCGCCGCTGCAGTGCAGCGAGAAGCTCGCCTACCGGCCGGACAAGAAGGCCTGCTGCAAGATCTGCCCGGAGGGCAAGCAGAGCAGCTCCAACGGGCACAAGGCGGCGCCGAACAACCCCAATGTGCTGCAGGACCAGGCCATGCAGCGATCGCCCAGCCACAGTGCCGAGGAGGTCCTCGCCAACGGCGGCTGCAAGGTGGTCAACAAGGTCTACGAGAACGGCCAGGAGTGGCACCCCATCCTCATGTCCCACGGCGAGCAGAAGTGCATCAAGTGCCGCTGCAAGGTGAGTTTCTATATCCTTATATTAAATTTAAAAAAAAATATTATTTGGAAATTCTTTGAAATATCTCAAATTTAATTTAAAGAAGTGAAATTGAATGTTAAATTTTTTTTATTATCAAATTTTTTTAATTGATTCAGTTTAAACTTTAAAGTAAATATTTTTTTAATTTTAAAAATATGTTTCAAAACTTTCTATTTTACGTTTTTATATCAAGGCTAAATATCAAATATTACAAAATATTAATATTTATTTAGTTTTTCAATTTAAAGAAAAACATTTTTTTAATTTTACAAATATGTTTAAAAACTTTTCTATTTTCCCTTTTCATATCAAGGCTAAATATTACAAAGTAATAACTAACTAATATTATAATTTTTTTATATAGTTATTTATAAACATTTTTTTGATTTTCAATTTAAAATACATTCTTTTTTAATTTTTTAAAATATGTTCCATATGTTCTATTTACCGTTTTCATATTTTTTATATTTTTATTTATATAACAATTTGTTTTATTTAATTATATAAATAATTATAAAAAAAGAAAAAAATTCCATAACTTATTTACACTTTCAACATTCTGAATTATTTACTAATCAAACATTTCCCACTCTCTTTAATTTCCAGGACTCCAAGGTGAACTGCGACCGCAAGCGCTGCTCCCGCTCGACGTGCCAGCAACAGACTCGTGTCTCCAGCAAGCGGCGGCTGTTCGAGAAGCCCGACGCAGCGGCTCCGGCCATCGACGAGTGCTGCTCCACCCAGTGCCGCCGGTCGAGGCGCCACCACAAGCGGCAACCGCACCACCAGCAGCAGCGCTCCTCCAGTTGAGCGGTTGCGGTTGTAGGTTGTAGGATGGCCGGGGGATTCCGAGTTCAATCCCGATCTAGATTCAGTTGCAGAAGCAGAAACAGAGCCACGGTAGAAAGTTGAGCCACTCACTCACTCAGTGCGATGTGCACCACCACCCAACCACTCACACACACACTCACTCACACTAACACACATCACCCACACAAACGAGCCTACATACACACACTTGTGCAAGGACTTGCATAGATCGTTGTTGTTATGTGGCAGCAATGAAAACTTGTATTATATATTTGAAAACAGAAAAACAAAAGGAGGAGGAGGAGGAGAGAATTCTCAAAAAAAAAAAAATAGAGAAAAGGAGAGGGTTAGAGAGATGATAATGAGATCCTTGGAAAAGGACATTAAACCAGTGCAGTTTGCTTTAAATTCTCCAGCGCAGAATTTTCAACAGAAAGCATTTTCTGAATTTCTTTTCACAACCCGCCCCCCATTGATTTCCCCCACCATCCCAGGCACCCAAAAAAAAACATTAAAATTAAATTTTAATTTATTAAAAAAAGCACCATAAAAATCACATTAAAAAACACTACCAAAAACAAAAAGAATTCGAAATTGAAACTGTACTGAGTTTTGAAAACACACACATTTGACTTATTGAAATACTTAAACCTTTTCAATTCATTTAAATTCAAATTTAAATTGAAATTTGAAAGCAAATCGATAACGCAGCAGCTATCGTGGGAATATTAACTTAAATCTAATTATTCTGATTATACATATATACAATATTTTTTATATATACATATATATATTTATATACATATATATATCTATATAATTTATGAGAAACAAAACACAGTGGGAAACGCATTTGGCGCATTATGTGGTTATCGACATTTGTATCGATATATCTATTTTAGCAACCCAAAAGTTTCAACTGATTGACTGAATGGCAAAAATAAAATTAGCTTTAAATATGTTTTTCGCAAGCAAGAAAATGAAGGAAATTGAAAACACCGCTTTTCAATGTGAAATTATTTTTTACTAATTGTTACTCACACCGACACACACCACACGCACACATACATTTAGGAATCGACAAGCACACACATACACATTGAAATGTTTGTATTTTTTAGGAATATATTTTTAAATTAAAATACATTTTATGGAACTTTTTCAATAATTATGTACAAAATTTGTTAAAAAAAAAAGAAAACTATTTCAAAAAATGCCATGTACACATATTTATACACAAACACACACATACTCCCATAAAAAGAACAAATCGAAAAAAGAAACAAAAATAAAATTTAGCGCATACACAGACAGAAATTGTATTAATTTTTTATTCTATTAAATTATTCTTATTATTATTATTTTATGTTTATTATTATTGTAATGATTTTTTTTGTAGCTTGTATAAACATTTATATATATATTCTATATTTAATAATTGATTGATTAATTTTAAATAATTGATCAATGGCGAGCAAAAATATTTAAATCGACGAAGAGCTAAACAAACTTGTACTAATAACTTAAATTTAGTGTTTATAAATTAAACAAAAATTGAAAATCAAAAACAACAACAAAACACACACAGAGAGAATAAACAAAAAACTACAAAATCACAAATCTTTAATTGTTTTATTAATAACGACAATCGAGGGATGATAAATTTATTTGACTTTTGTCAAACGAAATATAATCTATATTTGGATCTATATTTCCATTGTTACGGTAAAAAAAGAATTATTTTTTGTAAAAAATTAGAAATTGGTTTTTGACAAAAATAGGAGTTTTTTCTTTTGGGTTTTTCGCTGTAACTTGGCCAAAAATGGTCTTACACCAAAAATACATACTGTTTTGAACAGACACCAAAATAATAAATAAATCCAAGACACTTTCCGTGTTATTTTGAAAAAAACAAAATTTTTCTCTAATTTTCAATTTTTGAAATGCAAATATCATATTTAAGTGGTGTTTTTATTTGATGTATTTATAATATTAGTATATACACATCAACAATCAAATTTTGTTTGTTTTAGTGATCTGTGGGCCAGCGTTCTTTTTTTCTTCGAACTTTTTTATTAGGCAACTCGATTTACGAAATGGCAATTCGTCGCAGACACTCAGACACACTTATACCTATAAACTATATTATAGAGCAATTATATCTCGGTTTTTATAACCGACACACCAAATTATCCAAATGGCTTTAATGGCCCAGAATGATGATTGTCAAATGCCTAATTTCGGCCTGTGCCATTGGCGATCTTGGGCGTTTTGCTCTTTAAATTTCCGGGCATCTCTTGATTAGGTTGCCACACAAAGTATCTTATGATTCGGTTGGGATATAAAAGAGTGTATCATTATTTGGAAAATAAATAAGTAAGTAACCAACCTTTTGAAAACGACGGCCTATTATTAATTATTTGAAGCATTTTGGCTTGGTATTTTCAAAAATTGATCATCATTCGATTCCCAGCAGATTAGAGAAGGAAAATCAGCCAGCAGCCAGTTCGCATACCAAGTTGTTGCCACTGCAGTTGATGTTGTTGCCCGTTGAATGAAATCGAATAATTAAATATTGGCATAGTCACACCTTGTTGACAATTATTGACAGGCTGATTGGCAAACAAATGAATATACTTTAGCCATTGCCGTTTTTGAACTGTCGAGGGGCGCGGCCCAGTGGCACGACAATTGGCCCTGTGACTCTGGCATTAGTGCACAGAAAAAAAACCGTTTTTAATTTCAAATTTTGGTTAATTCTAGGAAAGGAGGAAGTACTCTAAAATGGCATAAAAAATTAAAACATGTATGAAAGCAGATATTATATATTTGTTTGGTTTAAAGAGGCTTTATAACATAACGGTCTATTAAAATAGGAAATATAATATTTTATTTGTTTATTTTAATGTTTTTATTGAATATTCCATTTTGCAAAGAAATCGATAAAATATAATAGAATTTCTTATATTCTTAATAGTTATTAAATAATTAAATTAAATAAACAATTTAAAATAGTTAATATTTGAATAATGTGGTTTGGCCAGTGTAAAAGGCCAAAAGTTCCATGGAGATGTTGGTCTTAAATCTTGATGCTGGAAAATATGATAATTTTTTTAGCCGTGTACGTGTGTGGGTGGGTGGTGGTGGGAGGTGATAGGTGGTGGCTGTGGGTGTGGCAGCTACCGAAAGCCGTCGGAGGAGATCCGAATCTGCAGCATCCGTCATGGGACTTGGAAAATCCGAGCTCCGGCGTTGGCGTTTGGCGTTTCGCGGTTCGTGTTGACATTATCTTTCGGATATCGATCGCCGGCCCATCTGGGAGCTGGCATTTGCATTTTGGCGCTATCAATTAATTGAGTTGGCCCGGCCAAACCCTTTGGATCGGCGATAAGCACCCCTGTCACACCATAGTAGCCATAATATCCACCGCAGATGATATCTGCACTCGCTTATTTATGTGTCACAACGAACACGCTCACGACATTTAACCAGCCAGCATTCGCATTCGCATTCGCACTCACAATCATACATATGCACTCACAATCGCACTCGTAGTCGCACTCATAATCATCAATTATCCGCTGCTGTCTGATTTTCAGTCGCAGTCGCGCGGGTAATTGCCGCAAATATGCAAAGCATGTGTAAAACTTTATTGATATACAATGTGAATAAACGTTTGCCTAACTTTGTTTTGATTGCAGCTGTCACTGCACCGCACTCACTGAAATCAATTCACCTTCAATAGCCCGGCCACGACTTTGCGATACACTTTTATGGGTCCCGGTTGCCGATCGCAGTCGGTTATGCGCTCGAATAGATAATGAAACGAGTGCACTGAAAGACAATTACCTTTTGAACAAATAGTACAAAGATTTATAAATATTTCAGGGCAGTTTTAAAGATATCATTAAACATTTGTTGACTCGATTGATTAAAAGAAATATCTATCTTTCTTTATTTTAAATGTTTAAAAATCAATGCCACACACAAACCAAAAAAAATCAACGGGATCAAATTGATATTCGCATGGTACATTTTTGGTATTTATACGCATGTCGTGTTTACTATGCAATACTGGTAAAATTGATATTAAATAATGTCATTTTGCCGATTTCTGTTTCTCGGAGATTTTTTGACTTCGAAAAAGAGAGCAATAAGCAATATGGCGAGGTGAGTGGGAGCGAGAAGAACTAATTCTCTAATTTCGACATTTTTTGTCATTTCGAGCATATCGAATTGATATGCCGCTGTCTGAGGTATAGTAACTTTTTCAACGTATCCCATTTGCGTAGTTGGAAATTAATTAATTTTCAGTGTAAAGCCCGATTTTCCTGACCACGACACGTAGATTATCGGATCCCAGTCTCGGACAACCCAAGATCACGCAAGGCTGGCCGGTCTTTTCCGATAGCCGAGCTGGAACCGAGCCTCGCATATCTGTCAGATACGCCGCACTTATTCAGCGGACAGATATGTAGGAAACGTAAACGTTAGAGAAATCGCCTCTAAGACAGGCGATGACTTCATCTATCAGCACTGCAATTGCTCCGCAAGCTGATCCATATATCAGGCAATGCGAGATCATTAAAATGGAATTAACTGAAATGGAAATAACAACAAATCGAACGCCATTATAATCGGTATATCAAATAGATCCAATTTATGGAGTTTTATGTCAAGAAATTTGATAACTGGTTTAATTTATCGCTTATCACTGGGTGTATGATTTCCAGTGATACTTTGTTGCAGATTCCTTTTTACAAAATACACTTTCTTATATATTTTTATTAAAATTCAGAGTAATAGCTAACTAATTGTAATCCTGGCTTTTCTTACCTCCAGATGCCTGCTCTGCCCACGTACGTTCGCCCCCATTTATTTGTGTCACTCCCACTCCCTCAGAAGCTTGTATCTTGCAGTGCACTGCCCCCGTATCTTGTATCTCACGGATCGCCTTCGCAACAGCCATCGCTGATTGTTAACTGATTGCATACAAATATGCTCCGAAGAGGTCAAATCATGTTGACACTCGTGTCGCCGACTAATTGCCTCAACAAGCTCCGCAACCCAGATCAGCTCGGTTTATTTGGGTTATTCTGGGTAGGGTTCTTCGATGCAAAGCCAAAGGATTGATTTTCTTAAAGTGAAATTATTTAAAGAATTATTTACAGCAGTTTCTTTAATTTTCCCTGATATATAGAGAAATCTTGCAGCTTTGAATATTATTCATAGCTCGATGATTTATTTAATTCAAATTTCTTTTATGGAATCTCCAGCAACTTGATCTTCAACAGATGGCCAAAACTATTGGCAGGACAAAAAAACACTTCTGATCTCACAACCAATTGGGTATCAAATGAACAGGTTCGCATCGGAAATAAACAGAATAGCCGCAAACCTAACAATTGTGGAACAGATTCGATTAGCATGCCGGAGATTTCTGCGTAAAATTAACACGAACCCAAAATTCTCCTAATGCCACGCTCCAATTCGAACCATCCATCGAATGTTTGAAATGCTGCCTGTGTTGATTGTTGATCACTTTTGGTGCCACGCGATCTGACATTATAAAAACGAGAAAAAAAGATAAAGACAAAAAAAAAAGGAAATTAAATGAAATGAAAAATAAAGACAGACAAAATTTCATTTTTATGAATTAAAAACCAATTTGGACGTGGACCTGGACATGTCCATAAAAAGGGGCCAAAACAAATCATGGCGTCGACAAATTTGGAACTAATTATAAATGCAGGCGGCCCGGCCAAAAGTGGA